TAGAGAACGTATCGAATTTGCCAGGCGCAGGAAATTCGGCTGCTGGAAAAAGGAGAGAGATTTTTGAGAAACATCGATCTAGCGAGCCACTGCGTGGGTGCATCGATTTATACGTTGGATTGCGATACTCGTTCGACCGTTTTACACTTTGACGAATTTACGAGTCGAATGTTTGGTGTATTGACAAATTCAGTTCACTTTGTAAATTTCGGGATTTGGGTTTGTTGGGTTTGGAAAATTGCTCATTTGCCGGGGTGAAAATTTACTGATTCGATTTGTTAATTTAGTGGTTTATGGAGTTTGGAGTATCAAGTGAGCAATTTAGGAATTTGGGAATTTGTTAAGGTGGATATTTGAGAATTTGGGAATTAAGGATGTTGGACAGTTTGGGAATCGGACAATTTGGGAATCGGACAATTTGGGAATCGGACAATTTGGGAATCGGACAATTTGAGAATCGGACAATTTGGGAATCGGACAATTTGGGAATTTGTGAGCTTGAGTTAGAAAAGTTAGGTGAAATATTCTGGATAATTGGTTTGGGATTTGGGGAGTTTGGGATTTGGGGAGTTTGAGATTTGGGAAGTTTGGGATTTGGGGAGTTTGGGATTTGGGGAATTTGGGATGAGTGGAATTTGGGATGAGTGAAATTTGGGGTGAGAGGAATTTGGGGAATTTGGGATTTGGGGTGAGTGGAATTTGGGGAATTTGGGATTTGGGATGAGTGGAATTTGGGGAATTTGGGATTTTGAGTGAGTGGAATTTGGGGATTTGGGGATTTGAGTGAGTGGAATTTGGGGATTTGGGGATTTGGGGATTTGGGGATTTGGGGATTTGGAAATATGGGAAATTGGGAATTAAGGAAATTGGAAACTTGAAAACTTAAAAACTTGGAAACCTGAAAACTTGAAAACTTGAAAACTTGAAAACTTGAAAACTTGAAAACCTGAAAACTTGAAAACTTGAAAACTTGAAAACTTGCACATTTGAAAACTTGAAAACTTGAAAATTACCATCTAAAAAATTGAAGAGAGAAGTGGCAAACAAAATGGAAAAATGGAATCCCTACGAAATGTAATAGTTTCCACATCACCAATAGCACATATCCGAATCGAGCAATCAAGTTGCAAATCATGCAGCTGTCAGTTCGAATTGTTATCAGTAATACCGAATGGAGCCTAACATGGTGTTCGTATGAGTACCTGCGTATCACACTAGGGAGAAAATGAATCTGCCAACGATGTTACGAAACAACATTACACGGAGACTCGGGACGAAAAGTACCATTAAAACAAACGTTAATTCCCATAGCAGGACGCGTAACGACTCGCGGTGCGACCATTATCTAAAGCTGTGTGTACAGGACGTATCAAAAGTGGTGATGATTCTTCTTTGATGGACAAATTCTAAATATAATAGTACTATGATAATACTATAATTTTTTCCGGTTTTCTATATTTAAAAAAAGGAAGACATATATTGTGGTTATCTGGAACTATATGTGTACAGGGTGTTTCAAAAATCGACAAAGTAATTACTTGTTGGTAGACAAATAAAAAATATTAGATAACGTTACAATTTTATGAAAGATTCTGTGTTTGAGAAAAGGAAGACTTGTATTGTGATCATTATCTGAAACTATATGTGTACAGAGTGTTTCAAAAATCGTTACAGTGATTACTTGTTACTGACAAATCAAATATATGAAATTACGCTTTTAGCAAAGATTCCATATTTGAGGAAAAAACATATTCAGGTACAGCATTTTAGAAAAGTTGTTACAAGCATGCAGTTTAATTGTTTGCAAAAAAAGATTAATCTTCCAGTAAAACGAAAGTATTTTCGTCTGAAGAGTTTGTTTTGTGGATGGTCTTCAATATTTGTTACAGTAATGATTTAATTATCACAGCAACAAATATTTTAAATTTCATAAATTTGAAGATTTCAAAATTTTTAAATTGACCGGAAATATTTTCAAACTAAAAAATTGAAGGTTTGTTAATACGATAATTTGAGAGTGTCGCAACTTTTGGTGCGTCCTGTATAGTACATTTCGCACGACAGACGTACCATCACGAGACACATAACGTCGAATCTAGGTTAACGTCAACCTCGAACAAGGTTGCATCTACGAAAATGGGAATTCCAACACTGGCCAACGCGAGAATGACTGCAACAGGATTTCGAGACTGACATCTTTCTGGATAAATGAAATTTTTGTAAAACACCTTGCTGACCTTATTATCCCTTCGTATATGTGACTGTAATCAAAGCTCCATCAAATTTTCCAAATTATATAATATTTTTTAGTTCTCCTAGTTCTTGCATATAAAATTTTTTAAATTATGTCATATATTTCTGTACCACATAACATGTAGTCAACATAGCATGTCTCTAATTTATTAAACATTCCAAAATTTTAAAAAATCTTCTAAACTATATATTTTTTTTGTAATATATAAAGTTTACTGAACTATCTATTTATGAATTAAATACAATTTTTAAAATCATAGTGCATGTCCCTGAATTAATATTTTTTAACTCATACATTTTTCTAAGTATAACATTTTTTTGTATTATATGAACTTTTTTAAGCTTCATTACATGAAACAATATTTTATAGAGAATGTTATATTGAACGTAAAATACCATGATCAATTTTTCTGCCCTTAATCGATAAAATTCCATCTGTCCACAATTAATCGAAAATCTCATCACCGCCTAAGAGAAGCGAACAGAAGAAAAGAAATAGGTGTTCGTAACTGCTAAAAGGGGAAATTATAGGAGGTTTTAAATATTTATCAGGCCGTAGGCCAGTCCACCGGCGACGAGCTTGACAAAGAACAAGGGGCTGCTAATGAATCCACTCGGTCGAGAGTAATTCTTTGTTCCCCGCTCTCTCGTATAAAACCAATGGAATTTAAAGAAAGAATGTAACAGCAAACCTTCCAACTTTTCCATTTATCGATCTCGTTCAATATATTTGCTTAATCAGGCCAACGATTTCTGTACAGGGTGTCTCAACCCTTATTCTGATTATCTTTCTTAATACGTAAAAAGTATTTCCTGTGTGATTTTAATTTTGCTATGCATTTTTAGTATCTGGGTGTGTTGTTTCATTGATGATTCGATATAAGTGAAAGCATGTAGTCTCTTGGTTTTCATAATTAAAAAGAATTGAAGTTTAGACACCTTGTATATTGTAAAATGGCATTTATTTATTTTTGGTGATTAGATTTGTTCATTAGGTTTCACTGATGGTTTGATACAAGTGAAATTATGTACCATACAGGTTTTGGTTTTTATAGGAAGAATTGAGGTTACATCTAGACACCCTGTATATTGCAAAACAATATTTGTTTATTTTTAGTTATACATCTATTTTAAATTGGTGTTTTAAACTGAATGGTGAGTTTTCAAACGCAAAATCTTGAAATTAAACAATTGAGAAAAACAATTTGAAAAAAAATGTAAATCTGACAGATCGAGAGTGTTGTCTCTTCGAACACAAAGAGTAAGACTTAATAATTTTGTAACAAAAAATCAGCAATTAGAACTGTTTTATTTTACCCTATCTTAGTCGATTTTCCGCCATTACCCACTTTTCCCCAAGCTCTCGCGAACTTTCTCGCAACTTTCTGCGCCCTTTCAAAAAAATCTGAAAATCCCCGTTCATTTTTCAACTAAGGAACCCGGTCGAATGCACTTCAACCGCCGAGTTATCGATTACAACGGGGAAGGGATGGAGAAAAAAAGCGACGAACGAATTCGAGCGAGGCAACGAGCTTCCCGTTCGTACAAGGAGATTTCCAATTATCGAGAATAAGTCGACGGAACGCTTCGAAAGCGAAATCTCAATGGAGTCCCATTGATTCCATAGAGAAAGAAGGGCGGCGAGAGGAGGGCGCAGAATTTTAATCTTGACGAGACATTCACAACACCGGATTAGAGAAGAAAAAAGGTACGATCTTTCGCTAGATAGCGAAAGATATTATCTGCCACGTATACTTATTTCCGACGAGAAGTTGTCCGTGGAGAATAAACTGAATTATTTATTATCCGAATTCGGCTGTCAGATTCTGCTATAGAGTAATATGATTATGCACGATTTATAGCTCTGTTTTCCGATCACCACGAGAAAACTAATAGGGTGGAAGTTAATGGCGAAAGCAATAGAATATTTCCAAGAAAATATTCTGACTATAGTTACGAGAAACTTGTGTTCTAATTCTCGGAGGAATCATAGATTTTCTTTATTGCGAATAAAATCATTTACTACATAGTTACAGAGTATTACTTGTTTCAATGAAACATTTCGTGTGAATACAATTTTTACTTCAAATTAATAATATTAATAATTCAACTTCTTTTATGTTACTCAACATGATATATTTATTAAAGAAAATATGTTTAAAAATGATAGTATGAATATGAGAAACGATAATCTGTTAAGTATGAAAATGTTTGAACAATATTGAGAACTGATGATTCGCTGCGTAGGCGGCCATTTTATGCGAACGCAGCCGCCATTTTGTGCTGACTGACGCGACGCAGTAGAAGTGGACGTACATGATTAGACAATGGAGAGGGACGTTTATGATCAGACATACGCTACAATTCTAATTTATATTACGAATATATGTATCAATTTTTTAATACATTAAATATAGTTGAAATAATATTAAGAACATACAAAAGTTTCTTTAATCGAAGTACTAAAAATATAACCTTAAATGAAGTGTTACGTTATATGTTTAACGATATAATACAACTGAAATTTTAAAGACAAATATTGTTATAATATTAACGGTATTAAATATAAAATTTATATTATCGGTATTAAATATAAAATTTATATTAACGATAAAATTAAATAAACAATATTTCTTGAACATCAAAGCAATGAATTTAAGAAGGAGAATATTGGTCCATTTTTCACGGAACGCGCTGTATTTTATTTTATAGGTTCAGTGATTTTTCGCTGCAAAATGATCACTCACCCCTTTGCCAAATTGGAGTGCTAGCCGGATTGCTGTCCACCTCGCATTTCATGCTGACAGACATCCCCTCGACGATGGGAATTCCAAAACCAGGTAAACGTGTTATCGCGAACGACGGAGTATCTGGAACAGGTATTAAGCAATTAGTGTCAGCATCGATATCGATAACCGTCGATCGTGAGACGTGTCGACGGACGAAGCAAAGTAGATAATACAGATTCAGTTACATAATTTAATAACTATTCACCTTACTACAAATTTAATATTCACCTTATCACAAACTAAACTTACATAAAATTAACTTTAGCACCGTTTATACAAACGTTTGCTGTATGAACTCTTTAGGTGCAATCGTTAAAGAAATATTTTCTTAACCACCCTTATAACACCCAGTTTTCTTAACCATTCTTATAACACCCTGTAACTTTTGGTGAAGTGTTTATATTAATAGATGCAACAAACTCTTTTTAACGAGAGTAGCTATTAATACTTTGACTAACATGCTGCTCACATGTGAATACACATGAATACATAAATATATTATTAAAAATTTCTTCATCTTTCCTAACTGCAAATACTTTCATTAATTACTTCCAACTATGAAAAATAAATATAACAAAATTTGATGAAATTTGTTAAAAACGAAAATACTACTTAATGAAATTGTTTACTGCCCCAGTATAAAAGTCCATATTAAAGCTCGTAAGTTGACCGATCTTTAAGCACGTTCGAGTACCATAAGCCTACGTTCTATGTAGGCTATCTATCGTGAAATTCCGTGATACCTTGTTACTATACAATTTGCGTTAAGACGCTAAGCTCGGGTCTTATCGAGCAAACGTTCCAGTTTCCTTGAGCGAGGCTCTAATAAACAATAACAACATTGTTGTTCGGTGTACAAATATAAATACTGTATGGCATTAAAGGCGTTGACCTAAATCCCTATATGCAATTCAGAACGATTTCAACGTTTCCCCACCGTTATACGCGAACAAATAATACCAGGGTTATTTGCAAACAAATTTTACACCCTATTTTAGAAATAAAACGTGCAATGCGTAATAAACTTCATGTTTATTCATGAACTTGTTACGGAATTCATGAAGTAATTTGAACAATTTTTGCATTTTTCTTCTTAGGGAAGAAAATAAATACGGTATTGGATATTTGAAAAAGAGAAGATTCTCTAAATGTACTTTAAACAAGATTCTCTAGAAGTAGTTTTATATGTATGAGTACTCGGTTATGTTCTTGTTTGTGCAAGAGAAGTTAAGAATATATTTAAAAATATATTAAAAAATGAGTGCAAAAGAAGTTTCATTTTCCTCAAATAAAAATTGGCGTTTATAATTTAAAATTTAATAAAAATCAATATTAGTAAAAATTCGAAAAAATGTACAACTTCTTCCTGTACATATTACTCTGTCTTTACTACAAAAAATTTATTTAAATGTGGGAACATAGACAGTGTTCTCTAATTAAATTTTTTGAAAACCAGTTAGCAAAAGAAAATTTATAGCTAGTTATGACTAGCAGAAATTTTATAACTATGACAAAATTTAAATTACAAAATATCTATGACAAAATTTAAATTATAAAATATCTATGACAAAATTGAAAATATAAAATATCTATAACAAAATCGAAATTTCACGATAGTCGCAATAAAATGAAAACTTTATGCCATCAAAGATTAAATCTCGAACGATCCTCCTAATCTTCCAATGCAATTTCTTCGCTCAGTTTTAACGCACTCGCGGCTTAAGTATTCATAAGCATTACCTTGCTAAATCACGTTCAAAGTGTTTTCTCCTCTGCCACAAAACTTCTAATACCCCAACAATAAACCACCCTATGCTTCCCAAACTCGTTCATTTAATCCCAATCACCTCGACACCGAACAAACAACGCTCACCCTCTCCCTCGCGGATTCAACGCTTTAACCCTTGCGGTCCAAATTATTTTCACCGTTTTGTTCCATTCTATTCGTGCGAATTCAATCAATCGCGAATAGTGTGACACGGACGCTTTTATTTTAACGCTTCAACGAAAAAGAGAATCGTTACATGTGAAATTGTTTTTCACAATTAACTTTCATCAATTTTCACAGCCCTCATTTTTTATTTCAATAGCTTAAAAATTTATAGCATAAAATTTTATTTTAATAATAAAATACTCGGTGAAACTAACCAATATTTTCCCTTGTTTTATGGAGGATTTTTCCCCGAAAAGATCATCTGAATATTTGCAGAATTTTCTGTTCGAGTATTTTAATTACATCGATGCATTAAAAAATATGACCTAATCAAATTTTAGTCTAATGTAGCCAATGAAGTTTAACCCAGAATCAGAGACCGAATTATTAAATAGAAATCGAAAAGTCGAATTCACACTCGACCGAGATAAGCAACGAGAAGGAAACAAGTTAAACGTACCGTTGCCACGAACATCAAAACTATTAATCGGTAAAACGGAACTACGTTCCTGACGAACGTGCCACCCTCTAACCACCCCTTTTGTCTCCGCTCTAGCAACGTTCCTTCTGCGTCATTAACGAGCGACCTCGAATCAAGTGACAGAACTGGGCCGTATACAGATCGTCCACGAACATGTGTGCGTTCCTGCACACACGTATGTGGAATGTTTAACCCTTAAGTACTATAGACGGTGAAACTTGCATAACTACCATAGAGGCACTGACAGACCGCTAATGTTTGTTTCGTCATTACGTAAATGCAAATTGTCTATTAAAGGTCAATTGCATTTCATCTTGTTCTGTAAATTGGCGACCGCTTCAACAGTCGGACGCGTTCAAAAAGCTGAATTTTGTAATAATTATTTTTAAAATTAGATATTTTTCATTTGGGATGTTAATACGTTTATAATATTTAAGGGTTGAATAATTCTTATTAAATAGAAGTACAGAGAAAAATTATTATATTGGTGGATGTTCTTATATTTGAAGTGTGAGAAGGGTAGTTTTAATAAGGGAGAGTCTTGTTTTTTAACAGAGGAAGGAACCAATCACTATCATCCTTGTTCATTTTGAACCGATTCGTTGACAATCAAATTTTGAAAATTCCGTTCACGCTTATTTGTGTACCCATTTAATAAAACGATATTTGGAACACAAAGGCGTAATTGGTACATCCAGGGTCCGTGTCGAAGCTCGCGAAACAAATCGGTGGAAGGGGACGGTCCGAGAAGTGTTTGCGAGTGGAATACAGAAAGGGAAAAGAGGAATCCAAACAGGGGAAAAGCAGCCGAGAGAAGTTGAGGAAGGGGTTTTCGAAGAGGGAGAGAAAAAAAAGGAGCGAGAGGCTTTTCCTCGCTTCGACTACCGGATGGCTCCAAGTTATTCACTCGGCTATAATAGTGCGGTGCTAGGACAATGCAAGCTTAATGAAAGCCATCCCCATCCTCTTTTCACCCCCTTCGTTCCCTGACTATCCTTGTCACCCTTAGTGACCGGTCTTTCTCCCTCTCTCTCTCTCTCTCTTTGTCTCTCTGGTTCTCTGTAGGTTCGGTGGTTCTTAGTCGACGCCAACGCTGTGTAGCCTGGCCGCACTGGCGTAAACACCAAACAAAGCAAACAATGAGACACAGAAGTGTCCCACAGACCTCGATCGCTTAATGAGAACTTTAAAGCACCTCCGCAAACTACCAGCCTGTCTGGTTCAGACGGGATCAGGGAATACTATGGATCTATCTGCCCGGTTCTATGGGATGCTTCATTTTATTCGTCATATGGGGTGTTTCGAAATTTATTTCTATTATCTTTTTTCAATTTTTTAAGACATTTTTGGAAGCTCATGAATTGTTCGAATTTTTTAGTTGAAAATGATGGAATAATCATATGTGTTACCATATGTGTATATTATGTATGTGTAATATATTAACATAGCTACATGTATGAGCATGCATATGTAACTTGTATATCTACATGTATAAACATACATATGTAACATGTGTAACTACATGTATGAGCATGCATGTTACATGTATATCAATGTGTATGAACATTCATATGTAACATGTATAACTACATGTACGAATACATCAACATATATGAACATACATATGTAACATGTGTAACTACATGTGTGAATACATCAACATATATAGACATGCACATGTAACATATGTACCTACATGTATGAATATATCAACATATATGAACATCCATATGTAACATGTATAACTACATGTATGAATACATCAACATATATGAACATTCATATGTAACATGTATAACTACATGTATGAATACATCAACATATATGAACATTCATATGTAACATGTATAACTACATGTATGAATACATCAACGTATATAAACATTCATATGTAACATGTGTAACTACATGTATGAATATATCAACACGTATGAGCATGCATATGTAACATGTATATGCACACGTGTCCACATATGTGCGCAAGTAAAAAGTATTAAAGCTTGATCATTACACATACACCCAACACATCAATCCCCCAGCATAAAATTCCCAAAAAAGAGGGATCACTTCAAGGCACAATATTCCCAATCGCAACATTTGTCCTCCAGAGTGAAATTTGTTTCTAAAACGTTTCTGCACGACCGTCGAGCAGAGTCGCTTTAAACGAAACACCGTGTGCACACAAAGGGGCGTGTGTACGCACCGTGCGCGCACACATGCACCCCTGCTGTACGTTTATTCCCGTTTTACCCGGTGTCCGATATATCACACGTCTGGGAGTCGTTCGACACGCGAAATACCTGCCCCATTTCCCTGCATCCTGTGTAATTCTCTTTATACGCCGGTCGTGAATTAACGTAAGACGAAAGAACGACGGCAGATTTTTGTTCGTCGACTCACGGGAACAGGAAGGCCGAGCGTCTTCAAAAGAAATTTTTCTACCGTTGCTTGTAGAACGCTCGTAAAACTTATACGGGCCGTTAAGCAAACCTATACCCCATAGGGCGTGGAAAAGGGCTTTTTCCGAGGGCACTGGCATCGCCTAACCGTGGCTGAAGGGTTGTGACGTAAAAAAAAGGACCGTGGTAGGACTCGACCGTAGCTTTACTAACGTTTGTAATTTGTATCGCTGGATGGCTGTTGTCAACGGGGTATTCATTTGGTCCG